GCTTGTTCAGTCGTTTGGTCCTCCCTCACTATCCCCCCTGCTGGCTTGGTCATAGGCAGCCATCTTTGTGAGATGTGAGGGTTAATTTGCATATCACCTCTTTATTATATAGGATGGGTTGGAATTTTTAGCCATGGAATAATATATTAGATGTAAAGAAATTTTTTTCTGCAATAAAAGAAACTAGATTGTTTCCTTTCCTCATAATGTCAATAGGATAACATAGCCATAAAAATTAGTACTTTCCTGAGGCCTAAAAGAAATGGGAGTCCTGGATTCACTTCTCAGGATTTTGTTTTCTTTTTCATTTGGCTTTTGTTATTAAGAATCAGGAGAGATTTGTGTGTCTGGGAACTGAAACGTGCTGTAGGCAGGATCCTGTGTTTTACTGTACATGGTGACCCAGGAATCCATTCAGCAGGGTACCAGGTTTCCCAAAGGATAGTTTTGGGAACTGATGCAGAGTGGTTGGCAAAAGTGAGCTAATCCACATCCATATTGGTTGTCTTACACTGTAAACTATTAGGCAGGGTCTACCTGTATCTGTTTTCTTCAGCATTTAATAGTAGTCTTGGTTGATGCTTAATAGACTGCTGAAAACCTATAGGCAGTAGATATTATAACTCACACTTTATCTATTTTTACCTTTAATACAGATGTGTTCTTGTTAGAGCTTTCAGGTTGTATCAGGAAAGGGGTTAAATTATCTTTTCCAAATCTATCCTATATAATAAAACCCTAATATGCAAATCAACTGAACAGCAGAATGACCGGCCGCTGTGATGCGCATTGACCACCAGGGGGCAGATGCTCAATGCAGGAGCTGCTCCCTGGTGGTCAGTGCGCTCCCACAGAGGAGCACCGCTCAGCCAGAAGCCAGGCTGATGGCTGGCAAGCACAGTGGCAGTGGCAGAAGCTTCTCCTGCCTCCACTGCAGGCGGGCAGTAAGGAGTGAGGGGTCCTGGACTGTGAGAGGGATGTCTAACTGCAGCTTTGGCCCGATTCCTAAGCCCACAAGCAGACATCCCCCAGGTGTCCCAGACTGTGAAAGGGTGCAGGCCAGGCTGAGGGACCCCCCCAACCCCCAGTGCATGAATTTCATGCCCTGGGCCTCTAGTTAGTTTATAAATGAAGAAGTTATGGCACAAAGAGATACAGGGACTTGTTCAAGACCCCAAAGCTAGTGGGTCTGTTGGCTGTCACTTGGCTGCTTTAGTCAGACCTGAAGGCAGGATTGTCAGGACTTTGTATGTTATTCCTATGGAGTCAGCCTAGATAACATTGTATTATATCTGTTTTCAGCTTATGAAACATTTTTGTTTCTTGATTGGTTATTGACACATTCTTAAGTCTCCATTTTCTCTCTTCTTTTTAAAAATTTTTTTAATGTTGACATAATTGCAGGTATCCCCCTCTTCCCCACCATTTGCCCACCTCCACCCACCCCTGTCTCCCCCATCCTCGGCCTTCACCACTGTTGTCCGCATCCATGGGGTATGTATATATGTTCTTTAGCTAATCCTATCACCTTTATCCTGTCACCCATCCCCTCCCCTCAGGCACCAGCCAGTCTCCATTTTCTCTATGTATAGAAAAACACTCACCTCAGGGTTGATCTGGGGATTACAGGGATTGATGAAAGAAAAGCACCTACCAGCCTGGCCAATAGTAGATGCTTAATGTGCATTTCTTTCTCTTTCTCCCGCTTCCCAGATATATTGGGTGAACTAACCATATATAAGGAGTAGATGCATTTGTGGCTCTTGCAGCTTCTTTCAGGAGTTGAGCACTGGTTGTGGTGGTTATGCTGAATTGATTTGGTTTGTGGCTTCAGTGATTTTTTTGTATATATCACCTGAGCTTTGGTCTGGCTTCTTCAGTGGGAATTATTTTCTTCCAGAAGTTGAACTACACCAAGTATTTTTTTTTAATGATCATTTTTTTTAAAAAAAAAATATTTTAAAATTGATTTCAGAGAGAGGAAGGGAGAGAGAGAGAGAGAGAGTTAGAAACATCAATGATGAAAATCATCAATTGGCTGCCTCCTACATGCCCCCTACTGGGGAGTGAGGCTACAACCCAGGCCTAACCAGGAATCAAACCATGACCTCCTTGTTCATAGGTCCACACTTACCCACTGAGCTACACTGGCAGGCCACCAAAAATTATTTCTTAAGCATGGCCAGCTCTGAAGCTTTAGTCTGAGTAGCTCTTACCCAACACCCTCAGCTTTAGATCCCTGGGATTCATCTCTTCTCCAAAGATACATGTGAATTTCTTGTTGGTAGTACATTCATTCATTTACTTAATTTAATGATGGCCTATTATGCACCTAGGCACTGTTCTAGACCAAGGATATAATAGTGAACAAGAAAAAAAATGGCCCTAACCGGTTTGGCTCAGTGGATAGAGCGTCAGCCTGCAGACAAGGGTCACAGGTTTGATTCCAGTCAAAGGCATATACCTTGGTTGGGGGCACATCCCCAGTAGGGGTTTGCAGGGGGTAGCTGATCGATGTTTCTCTCTCATCGGTGTTTCTAACTCTCTATCCGTCTCCCTTCCTCTCTATAAAAAATCAATAAAATATATTTTAAAAAAGAAAAAAATGGATACTCACATGGAGCTTGTATTCTAGTGAACAGTAAAAAAAGAAAAAGGTTATGCTTTACTCTTTGTAGTTAGACAAGGTCATCAGGTCATTTTGTTCAGTGGATTGCTAGCAGAAGCCTCACTTCTGGGCTGAAGTATTTATTTGTTGGTACAAGACTCTCTAGTGCTCTCCTTTCTTGCCTCAATCGTGGAAGCACATATAGAGAGAGGTGTCATGAGATCAAATCAGTCTAGAATGCTGAGTCCCTTACATAGTGGGTTAGCTGTTCTGTGAGTCCCCCAGGCCTATAATGGGCTTTGTGGGAACAAGAAATAAACATTTGTGTTTAATCACTGAGATGCGTGCTGTGTGTTTCTGCAGTATTACCTGGCCTGTTTTTAATAGAGGTGGCTCTTATATTAGAGCTTTGAAACTTTTTGTTTTCCATTTCACTTGGCCTTTGGCCCTCAGGAAAGATCTAGTTCCTATGGATGCTCCAACAAGCTGATGTAACACTGATGGGAACACTAGGAACTAACAAGACTATAGGTAAAAGTCAAAATATTAAGTAAAACAACAATGGCCCTAGCCAGTTTGGCTCAGTGGGTAGAGTGTTGACCTGCGAACTGAAAGGTCCCAGGTTCGATTCCGGTCAAGAGCACGTACCCACGTTGGCTCGACCCCCAGTGGGGGGTTTACAGGAGGCAGCCGATCAATGATTCTCATTATTGATGTTTCTATCTCTCCCTCTTCCTTCCTCTCTGAAATCAATAAGAATATATTTTAAAAACAAAACAAAACAAAAAACAACAAAAAGGACTATATAAGATATTTAAAAAGACTCATTCCTTATCGGGGCACATATCCTAGGAGGTCAGTTTAAGTGGACAAGGCAGTCTTCTCCCTCTGGCCACATTCCTCTTTCCTTGTTCTTTGTTCCCTTATACACCACTGCCCCATGTGCACAAAATGTGTTTCTGTTAACCAATGAGGTAGGAAGAGAGTAGGGGTTGCCTTTCATTCCTCATGTGAGTACAGATTTCAAGGAATGGTTGGTAACTACCCCTGTGGAACCTTCTGTGAGTTGTGCCTCAAAAAAAACCCCCCAAAAAACAAAACATGGGATATATGGCAAATCCTACACCCATATTGGTGTATAAAGGAAGTGGTTGCTCTTCCTGGGCTAAGGGATGACAGTTGGGAAGAAGCTTGAGTGGAAAGCAGGAGTAGGACACCATTTGGGGAGTGAGAAGTCTCCAGTGGGAATGTCCTAGCTTAGCCAGTAGCCAGCAGCACAATGTCTCAAAACTCCTTATGCTTGGAATTTGGGGTGGACATGTGGAAATTGTTAAAGGAACTTCTATAGCCTTATCACTGGGATAAGAGTAGATAACTAAAAGAACAACCTAAATACAAAATCTATTGCTCT